TTGATAGTTCCGCCATTGTCATTCCATTGTCGGATGATGAATTTAACCAGGATCCATGCGTTGTCAAAGAATGGAATAATTTTGATAACCTAACATGCCTCACCGATAGGGCATGGCAATATTTTGGTAGGGCGTGCGTAGAATATGCACCCTTCAGCTTACTATATCAACAGAATAAGGGGACTATTCGAGAATGACTTATTAGCACTCAGTTATTTTCTACTGAGTCTGAGTGAGTGTTAATGTATATTAATACATACGATGCATATACAATATGTATACATAAAATATTTTGTATATATGTACGTACATGTGTAATTGGCATACAGGGTGTTTCTCGTCTCCCCATATTCGCGTGTCCCGGTTAACAAAGGCGAGGGCGTGATGCATGTCGCTGGAAGAGCCCATGTTTTGTCGGCCAATCAGCGTGTAAGGAGAGGGCGTGATGCATGTTGCTGGAAGACACCATATTTTGTCGGCCAATCAGCGTGTAAGGAGAGGGCGTGATGCATGTTGCTCGAAGAGCCCATGTTTTGCCGGACAATCAGCTCATAAGGAGAGGGCGTGATGCATGTCGCTGGAAGAGCCCATGTTTTGTCGGCCAATCAGCGCGTAAGGGGAGGGCGTGATGCATGTTGCTCGAAGAACCTCTATTTTGCCGGACAATCAGCTCATAAGGAGAGGGCATGATGCATGTCGCTGGAAGAGCCCATGTTTTGTCGGCCAATCAGCGTGTAATGAGAGTGCGTGATGCATGTTGCTCGAAGAGTCCATGTTTTGCCGGACAATCAGCTCATAAGGAGAGGGCGTGATGCATGTCGCTGGAAGAGCCCATGTTTTGTCGGCCAATCAGCGCGTAAGGAGAGGGCGTGATGCATGTCGCTGGAAGAGCCCATGTTTTGTCGGCCAATCAGCGCGTAAGGAGAGGGCGTGATGCATGTCGCTGGAAGAGCCCATGTTTTGTCGACCAATCGGCGCGTAAGGAGAGGGCGTGATGGATGTTGCATGTTGCTAGAAGAGCCCATGTTATATCGGCCAATCAGTGCGTGTGATCATTCAGTTTTCTTCCTTCATGTGAATTGTAGTAAAATTTTGAATATGTAAGAATTAAATATTGCTAGAATTTTAGAAATACCGAAGTGGGGCATGGCCCCAAATCGGTTGGGAACCTCTGATCTTAGCCCTTCATAGAACAGGTGCATTTAGGTGTAGAACTAAGGATTGTACCTCTCTTTACCTTCTGAAGGCATTTACATATGCCCTAAAATTTTTCAGATGTTTAATTGTAAATAATTTTCTAAACTATTTAATGCCCCCCTCGACAAATGCTTTCTGAATCGATGGATCCGCGCATCCTTCCGGTTTATAAATCAATTCTTTGCAAATAATTATTTAACATTTTTCAACCAATGGGTTACGTTCCCACCGACAATAAAAAGCATGCTTAGTGATCCATTTGAAGTGTATGCAAGTCAAGACTCTTTGAAGAGTGTTTAAACCAGTAAAGAGCGTAAGAAGAGGGCACAATTAATCACGATTAATCAAAATTAATCTCGATGCGCACGGATTCAGAGACATGTTCTTACTTATTCACCCGTCTCCCTCACCAAAATACGTGACATTCAACACTCTTCCTCACCAAGCTACGGGATACTTACACTTTCCACCTCACGTTCTCTCTTGCCACTTTTTCACACATACACACGAAGGACTCGAATTTCTTTTCATCTTAACAAACAACTACAAACAAGAAACCTTAGCACTCGTACAAGTTGAGAAAAAATTAGTCGTGAAAACAGGAAAATAAATAATATTTTTATATCTAAAAACATTTTTCGCCTTTTACTTTATTAGTTTGAGGAAGTGCGCCATTCAACAGAATAGGACATAGTCGCTCAGAGCAGCATCGGTTTGAACTTCTCCTTAGTCAACCTGGTAATGTGTGTTCTCTCATTGTCTTGTTGAAACAAAGCCCTACCTCGATATCAGGATATCTTTAGTATGTCGTACACGAGGTCTATCTGCTGTCAATACAGTTTAGCGTTGATGGCGCGGCCGTGTGGAACAAGCTCGAAATGCTTTACTCTTTGGTAATTCCACCAGACAGAGATAAAGATTTGTTCTTTGCTTTCCGCTTTCTAAATGAGTCAGGACTTTGTGGCTAGCCTAGCCTTTTAAAATTTGTTCTTTGTTATACTAAGAAAATAATGTTTACTTTAAGAATAATTCAGTTTGAGTTTTAGTTTTATTTTGGCAGAAAAATACTTTGCATTCTTTGGGCACTTCGACGTGGTATAATGGGTATAAAGCTCGTCTCGCTAAATCAATCACAAGTCAGTGCTCCATACCTTTGGACTTGTGGCACACCTAAACTTAACTTAGTCATTATATTTTGTATTTTTTTTATTTAGTAGGTAAGTATGCTGGATCTTTTTTTTATTATTTGCTATGTATGTATTTTAGATCTTTTCTTCATGGCTAGCACATAATTTGGGCCCTTCGTTTTTAGCAGAGCCGCACTTGGGTTAATTTCATTTAGCAGACACGATAAATGATAATTTATCGCTATGTTGAAATTAGTTAGCGCGTTGGTCATACTAACAAAATCTTTGTCAATACCATTTCGAAAATTGATTCCGTCTGTCTTTTAATCTTAATAGCGAAGAACGTGATTTCAACCGAGGGAGAACCGCATTATCACTGCGTCAGGTATACAAGAGCTCATAAAGGTTCTGATGTAGCAAAAAAAAAAACATCAACCCTGAGAATGACGGACCATATTGACCCCCCGCCCCACTAAACGTTGGAGCAGATGACAGATTTGAGCATTATGGTCACCCAGAATCCGAAACCGTCCAAGATACTAGTCCGCTGGCTTGGAATCAAAAACTGTAAACAGGCTTCCTTCATTTTATCAAAAATATTGAATCACTGATCGCGGAGGAAGTATGCTATTGAGTAGAATAGGCCATAGTCACTCGAAGCAGAATCGAGACTGAATGGTGGATGTGGAAGAATCTCAACACCGTCCATCTGTTTGATCTTTACTTAGTGAACCTGGCAGCGTGTGGCCACGTATTGTCTTGCTGTAACAAGGCCCGACTGCAATATCAGGTCTATCTGCTGGCAATAAAGTTTAGCGTTGATGACGCGACCATGTGGAACAAGCACGGAATGCAGTACTCTTTGGAAATTCCACCAGGCCGAGATAAAGATTTGTTCTTTGCTTTCCGCTTTCTAAGTGAGTCAGGACTTTAAATAATAATAATAAAAAAACTGTAAACAAGCTTCCTTCACTTCATTAAAAGTGTTGAACCGCTGGTTGCAGAGGAAGTGTGCCGTAGAATAGGCCATAATCACCCGGGACAGGATCAGGACTGAATGGTGGATGTGGAAGAATCTCAACACCGTTCATCTGTTTGAACTTCTTAGTCATTCTGCCAATGTCTGGCCTCGTATTGTCTTGCTGAAACAAAGCCCTACCTCGATATCAGAATATCTTTAGTTTGTCGTAAACGCGGTCTAGCTGCTGACAATAAAGTATAGCGTTGATAGTGCGAACGTCTGGTACAAACTCGAAATGAATTACTCCTTGGAAATTCCACCAGAGAGAGATCAAGATTTGTTGTGTGCTTTCCGCTTACTAAGAGAGACAGGACTTTCAGGCCAACCTAATATATAATGCAGCCCTTTGTTTTACATATATTTTTCTTTAGTTTATTTTCGATGCAAGATTTATGCTTGTTACGTTAGGAATATTAAACGTTCTTTTTGTGCTGAAAACATAAGATGTGCTATCTTATCTTCTTTTTCGTCATTCTTAATAGATACAGATTTTATTAGTATATCCTTTGCTGAACCGCCTCCCCAGGTGAAAGTACAGTTCGATAATCTGAGAGGTAAATCATTCTTATGCTGTCTTTTCATGTTTGTAATTAGAATCTATCAGTCGAGATGCACTAAGCGACTTCTAAAGACGAAAGAAAAGAGAATCCTTGGAAAGAACAAAGAATAAAGCAATCGATGAATAACAACGACCATAATATCTATCTATCTATCTATCTATCTATGTAAACGAGATTATATCTGAGTCTATCTCAGTCCGTTTCTATCTATCTATCTATCTATCTATCTATCTATCTATCTATCTATGTAAACGAGATTATATCTGAATCTATCTCAGTCTGTTTCTATCTATCTATCTATCTATCTATCTATCTATCTATCTATCTATCTATCTATCTATCTAGGCTGTACATCTATCTATCTATCTATCTATCTATCTATCTATCTATCTATCAGGCTGTTCATATCTATCTATCTCAGTTTTTTCATATCTATCTATCTATCTATCTCAGTCTTTTCATATCTATCTATCTATCTATCTATCTATCTATCTATCTATCTATCTATCTATCTATCTCAGTCTTTTCATATCTATCTATCTATCTATCTATCTCAGTCTTTTCATATCTATCTATCTATCTCAGTCTTTTCATATCTATCTATCTATCTATCTATCTATCTATCTATCTATCTATCTATCTATCTCAGTTTTTCATATCTATCTATCTATCTCAGTCTTTTCATATCTATCTCAGTTTTACATATCTATCTATCTATCTATCTATCTATCTCAGTCTTTTCATATCTATCTCAGTCTTTTCATATCTATCTATCTATCTATCTATCTATCTATCTATCTATCTATCTATCTCTGTCGCTCGTTATGTATCTAAATGGCATTAAATATAAGTTAATCAATCTATCTATAATGCTAGCATTTCCAATCTGTTTCTTTTTTCTATTTCTCTCTCTCTTTATATATGCATATCTATTTAAAATCTAAACCTATTTCTGTCTCCATTTCTTCACCACCTTTTTCCATTCCTTATTTAACTCCGCTCTCCTCCTACTCTTGATTTTTCATTCTTTCATATCTCATTACTTCTTCCGACATTTCACCACTACCTCTTTGTTTTTAACCACCTACACCAACAATGTCTTCTTTTTGCTCTTCCTGTTCCCTTCTTTTTCTTCCAATTCATCATACCATTCCCGCGGAAGTTTACCAAGTTACCCGAGGCCAGCAAGAGACACCAGCCATCAATCCTGCCGACATCAAACAAGACCACCATCGCCATTTCCTTTATCTCAAACTGAAATCTAACGGTGGGACGGCAGAGTTTGGGTGAAGGAATATCAAAGATTGAGAACTTCTAGATAACACACACACACACACACACACGGACACAGACACGCGCAGAGGAATGCACATTCGCGCGGGTAGTTGTTCCAGAACGAGGAGGGTGTTGGTGGGCCTAAATGGGCCACTAGGCTGTCAAGAGAGCAATTCTTTCTGCACCTAAGATAAAAAAAAGGAAGAACAACATAAAAGCTGTAGAAATTGCTTTGAGTTCTTTCGTAATCTACTTAGTTTGGCTATGGATGTTTTCTTCTTTTTTTGTGATGTCAGGACGAATAACATTTTCTAACAAGCAAATAGACGACGATAGAAATCGAGTTTGAGACCAAGAGGCTGCGATAAAGACATCTTTATGTATTCTTCAGAACACACACGAGCTTGCATACACACACATAAATATCTATGGACCTATCGCAGCCTGTTGTTTTATATATGTGTATGTGACTTCTGTTCAAATCCTTTTATCTAAGCCCAAATATATTCACTATTTATCTGTCTCTTTCAGTTCATATCTATCTATCTATCTATCTCGGTCTGTTCTATCTATCTATCTATCTATCTATCTATCTATCGGTCTATCTATCTATCTCAGTCTGTTCATCTATCTATATATCTATCTATCTATCTATCTATTCACTATCTATTCACTATCTATCTATCTATCTATCTATCTATCTATCTATCTATCTATCTATCTATCTATCTATCTATCTATCTCGGTCTGTTCACTATCTATCTATCTAACTTTCTATCTATCTCAGTCTGTTCATTATCTATCTATCCATCAACTTATTTTTCTATCACAGTTTGTTCATTATCTATCTATCTATCTATCTATCTATCTATCTATCTATCTATCTATCTATCTATCTATCTCAGTCTGTTCCTATATATCTATTTCCTTCTGCACAAATCTTTGTGTATGTATTAGGATATATCTATCTAATCTTGTTCGTATCTGACTCTCTATCTCATCGTCTTAAAGCATCCATCTTTTTGGCAGAAATTTGATCGGTATAGAGTGGGATGGTAAATAATGAAGTACGCTGTACAGTAAATCGAAAGTAGAAAATTGATTGGAAAACTAAAAAAAAAAAATGTCTATAGAAAGTAAATGAAAGACTATTAAATGAAACAAAGCTGTTTTTCTTTCTTTATCTTTTCAACTCTATCTACTTTCACTTTGGTCTGTCTGTCTCTCATTCCCCAATGCTAAAACGCCAACAGTATAGTGCCAATTACACCAACCACCCGGGACATACCCAGAATGAGAGGTGGGGGAGGGAAAGTGAGAGTGAAAGAGAGAGAGAGAGAGAGAGGATAAATAGAGGCAGACTGCTAGACAGATTGAAGGAATTGCATATTATCAATTAATTTACATGTATTAAAACATATAGAAGCCGCTGGTCATTGGATTTGCAGTTCGTTTTTGTTCATATTTATTCGCTGGCAATAGTTACAGATGCACGTATAAAATATGCACATATTTAAAATTTGCATTTGCCCAACCAACTTTGATGTTTTTAAATGAAGCATGAGAAATATTGTCACTTATGTTATGCTCAGTGTGTCAGACAACGGAACTGGTATGTTTATTCGGAATAGCTTTCAAATTTCTCACAATGGTGGTCAATCTGTATAAGGCTCAAGAACTACTCGAGGTCGACAGTAACAGAGTAAGAAGCACAGTTTATGAGGATATGTGAGAAAGATAACGGTTCAACCTAGACATGAACAGGTTAAGAATCTAGTGATCGGGGAAGCATCGTTTGGGGAGTCGGTTCCACAGAGCAGTGTCCCTTTGAAAGAAGCTGCTGGAGTGGAACTTACATCTAACAGATTGAATGCGAAGGGAATGAGGGTCGTTTGCTACAATGTGCGTGGTATGGTGGGTCTTAGCCGTAAAGGTTCGAACTTGTGAAACTAAGGAATTAAGTTCGTCTGAACGTTCACCATCGAAATAACGATAGAGAAGCGAGAGGCTGGCAACATTTCGTATGTGAGAAAAGAGGTTGTAGGATGGAAAATAATTTGTTGCTCACAAGAAAGCGCAGGCGATTTTGGACTCAATCAAGACTGGAAAAGAAAGACTATGCTACTCCTGTCTATATAGTGATTTTCTAAGCGTGGCTTAGATGTGGCACAAGGCCAAAAGTATGGGGCACCCAGTGAAGATCAAACTCACTATTCAGTCGAAACTGATCAAGCAAGACAAGCTTTATAACTATTACACCACGTCGAAGTACCCCATAGTGATTTTCCAAGCGTAGCTTAGATGTGGCACAAGGCCGAAAGCATGGGGCACACAGTGAGGATCGAACTCACTACTCAGTGGTAATTGTTTTAGGGAGACAAGCTTGTTAACCAGTACACCACCTCTAGGTACCCTACACCTGTCTATATATGGCGGCGATTTTTTTTCATAAAATGTTTTCATTTTTCAAAAACACGGTCAATATATAAAAAAGCTAAAACTAAAAAAAAAAAAAAAAATAAAGCTAAAAATAATGGAAGTCTTGTTAATAAAAACAAACAAACCAACACTTAATAATATAAACTTTGAACATGGACATAATATATTGACCATGTTTTGAAAAATGAACACATTTTATAAAACATACATACAACAAACTGTTTCTTATTTAACACTTAAAATATTTAATCTTTGAAAATGGCTAAATGTATTGCCGAAAGCGCTCGGATATAAAAAAAAAATAAATAAAAAATAAAAGACAGTTTTTATATAATTTATCACCCGAAAAGAAAATAAAACATATTAGATCGCATGAGAAATTGTATAAAACCTAAATGAAAGCACCTTGTTTGTCGTTTTCAATGAAATGCATATATATATATATATATATATATATATATATATATATATATATATATATATATATATATATATATGTATAGGATTGGTGTATACGGAATTTAGAGTTACTGAGCATGCTTAATGTTAAGAAGAGTGAGATCTGTTTGTTAATCTTGTTAAGTCTGTTGTTACGAATAAACGAGTAAAAAGCTAGAGGTTTCACTCTACATTATTATCCATGATATTTACTTTCCTTAGTTAGATCCTCACTGGGTGCCTCATACTTGAGTCCTTTGTAATATTAAACTAAATATAGAGAACATGTTGTAGTCGTCACGACAGTTCAATAATTTCCGACTTGCACCATTGCAAAAAACAATTTAAAATACTGATACATTTGGGATAATGGCGCAACATAATCTTCTTATTCACATTAAGCTATACTAAGTAGATATCTAGCAACAGACATATTATCTTCATGTGTCGGAGTTGAGTGTTCTGGCTTAGTAAAGCTAACTTTTTAGTGTTGATTCTCAAGTTGACATTTCTAATTTGGCAAATTAGCACAGTGCAATATTTTCGCATTGTTTGGTGCAGCGCCATAGAACAGTCATTAACAATTTAATTTCGCAAGAGACTTAAAAAGGTTAAAGAGTTCGATCTCACCAGGTGCTTTAAATTTGCCTGTTCGATTTCAAGTTTGATAAGTTCAGTAAGAAGCATTCTTGTATTATAGTCTTATACTTTTCTATTGCAATTTCGTTACGGTCTGGAATTTTATATTTGGCAAGCATCTACTGTGGATAATAACAAATGGTTGAATTAGCTAACAATGTTTTGGCATCTTCACCATATTGTTCCAGACTGTCTTCATTTCCATTTGGATCCTCTTGTTTTGGCATGATTATCATCTGATTGTGATTCAAATTAGTCCCCAGGAAAAGGAGTACAAAGAAATTCTGCCTTTTGTTTTTCTCTCAGTTTGCTTTCCTTTTTAAATGTAAGCGAATAATGGGGCAATAGACAGCGGCTCGGAATCGTAAAGCGGAAAGCTGAGTTCAAATTTTAGTCGAGCTCCTTATGTTCAGTAACGAAAAAAAAAATTCCCCCTAACTATGGGTTAAATATCAGGGCAGAATGTGTTGTGGTTGGCAATCAGACTAGGAAAAAACACCTTTGAGTCAGAAACGCACGTGGCTTAGACTCTACGATAGAGATATCCGAAGCAAGATTGGTATTAAGCTTTGACCAAAGTACTCCAAAAAAAAAAAAAAAAAAAAAAAATCGGCGCTGAAGAAAAGTATAAATTTCCATTTAACTGGTTATGCAATTACTGATTTTTGGATTATGGGGGGTAAGCGAAAAACTTAGCTGAAAGAATTTCACGCTCGGTCTGTCTTGTGGTTGAGATAGTTGTGCATGTCGTTGCCCGGTAGGCAAATAACCACAATCCATCTCACGCCTATTTCCCTATATTTGCTTTTTCGTCCTAATGAGCTAACGAATACATTTGAGATGATGAAAAACGGCTTGGAGATTTTAATACTCACAGAGTCTATTGGAGGTTAGAGAAGCAGAGAAAACCTCTACTAAGCTACCTGATATGGTTGCATGAATGGAATGCTGAAAAGGGACAAATGAGAATAGCAAAAATTAAAAGTTATTTCGAGCAAGAAAAACGAGGATGTTGTGGAGTACCGTGATTACTCATGTCCTAAAAGGATAATGAACATAAAAGAAGTTTACTTTTTTATCTGTGTGTGCACGTGTATGTGTGCGTGCATGTATGTTGTTAAATGCGTGTGCCTGTCTATATTTCTGAGATGAGGTATTATGATTTCTTACATTATTTACATTATTTGGACTGTTATCCTCATCTTCATCGCCATATTCACAGCGTTTTGGCCGTTGTACGATCCGGCCTTCTTCAGGTGATTGAAATTTCGAACCGAACTCTTTATTTTGTCCTCCGGGGAAGGTTGTTCTAGTTCCATGTGCCATTCCTCTTCCGGATGTCTCAGTTATTTCCCTTTAACCCAACTCTCTAAGATTTTGGTCCACCACTACTATAGCCTGGTATTGAACTCACTATCCTTTGGGCCTAGTCACGGGATCTAACAAACGCCTTTGTCCACTAAGCCATGTTTCCTCGAGGAAGATCGGAGCTTTTCAACGGCGCGTGTACCTGTTATTTATAAAGTATGTCTGAAAAATCATCTAGCAATCTAATAATAATGAGAAATGGTGGCGTAGTTCACTTCAATTTAATCTCGATGGGACCTCCTACACGTGGAACTAAAATCTGGATAACAGATCGACGTTAGTGGTGCAATGTTTTAACAAAAATTAATTTCTGAGTAACCCCTGAGGAGAGTATCTACCCATGAATGCACAGTAAAATAATGCCAAGTTAAATCAAAGCTGCTCCATCTTTGCAAGATTCAAACCAGACCAAAAATATCGACTTCGTAGTGAAAACATTTATTCTACATTACAACTTCTGTTCACTGGCGCAATGACACAAGCCCTAAGAGCCAGTACTATATGGACCATACTCCCGTGTGGATGCTTCCCTAAACATTAAACTCTTAACGGTTTACCATAAATTTAAAAGGCATGGTGGAGTAATGGATAGCGGCTTAGTTGAGGAATAGGAGCAGTCGAATCCATTACATTCACTTACGTGTTAATACCCTTGGGAAAGGTATGAATCCTCTTCTTTTACCCCCCCACCAGCTATGGATAAATAGCAGGAGAGACCGGGTATTATTTTTTGCAATCTACTGCGTTAAAAAAATCTGCTTCGTCAGTCATGTATCGAAAGATCGAAAGATACATGATCGCCTAAGCGTGTATCACTCTGATCTATCCAACATAATCTGCAATTCTCCTTCTACATCCATATTCTCTTTTCCAGATTTAATTTTTCCTGAAGACTTTTCAGTATTCTTCTGCTTCATGTCTCTTGTTTGTCTTTGAGGGAATTGTATTGCGTTAACTGCCATATAGGAGGATTGATGTTGCATAGAAATTCAGCATTTTTTTTCTTTCTAATATTTTTCTGTTTCTTAGAATTGAAGCCTCCTGGGTATGAAAATAAACTACATCTGGCAGCAGTGTTTCTGATCGAGGGATTGGAGGTTTTGAGGAGCGTTGAATCTCCTCTTAGTTGCTCTTGTTCCCAGGTCCCCACCCTGTCCGAGGGTGGAAGCATCTGTTAAGGTCCCACATATGAGCAAATAATGAACCCTGAAACTAAAACAAAATACTATAAAAAACATAAAAGTATAAAAATATATTTTTATAGTAAAAAATTTCCCAGCTCTACATTTTTGAAAAAATAAAAAGTTAATAACAGAAATATTACCAGAAATGCAGTAAAAAATAAAAAAAACAAATAAAAAACAGTTACCGGCAATATATATTACTAATTGTTATATCGGAACATTACCTATTCTATTGTAATATACTCTCCCACACATAATAAGTAGTAGTAGTAGTACTAGCAGTGGCCAGTTGAGCTCAGTGGAGTTGAGTGAGTCAGTCGATGTCGGACATTGAAGTATCAACGACCACAACTAGATTGCTGCGTCATTAACTATTATTTTCAAGTTCCTAACGTTTTGTACGTCGGACCCTTTTAGGACCGACTTAGCGAAATACAAGCCTCCACTGTGAAAACTACTCTACAACACTAATGCTTCTAAAAAAGAAAATGCGGCATTAAATGACGCATAGAGGGTTGATATGCCAATAAACAAATAGTGAGGCAATTCGGAAAGAACTACATGTCCAACTAGGATTTATTATTGATGGATAGAATCTTAACAACATAAAAAAAATAACGCATTATAAAAGTATAGAAATATATTTTCATCGTAAAAAAATAACTGCAATATATTTTTGAAATTACTAAAGCGCCCAAGAAAATTAAATTTCTGTATCTAATGTCTTATAAGAAGTTGATATGCTGGTAAACAAAAAAAAAAAAAAACAAACAAATAACAAACTCGTATCGTGTTGTCCAAAAAATTCTATCGGTTTATTAAGTAAATTATCTATTTAAGAAGCGACCGAACTTTTTTTGGCCAGCTCAATACTTTTCTATATATTTCTTATGCTTCTTAGAAAATGTAGGTATTGTAGGCCGATAAAAGAAATTCGAAAAAGCTATAATAATAATAATAATAATAATAATTTTTCCACTGGAACAGAAGGTATGCAGGAGAGTTTGATATGGCTGCAAAGATCAATTACTGATAAACAAAATGATCCTGGAAAATTGCAGGAGACGACGTAGAAATCTTAGCGTAGCGTGGATTGATTATCGTAAAGCCTTTGATAGTGTGCCACTCTCTTGGATTCTTAAGACTCTGGAAATGTACAAAGTTTCCCCTGTAGTAGTAAATTTCCTTAATCACAGCATGGGAATGAGGAACACCACACTATACCTAAATCACACCAGAGGCACTGCCATCTCCAACCGTCTGAATATCCGACGTGGAATCTTTCAAGGAGACTCCCACTCACTCCTTCAGTTCTGTCTGTCCTTAATCACCCTTACGAATGAACTAAACAACAGTAGCTATGGTTAAAAAATAGACAAAAAATATTTAATCATCTACTCTATATGGATGATCTCAAACTCTTTGCCAAAAACGACAATGAGTTGAAAGGCCTCTTCAATATTGTAAAATGTTTCAGTGTCGACATAGGTGTGGACTTCGGATTAGATAAATGTGCAAAAGTAACTTTCAAGAAAGGGAGAATTATAGAAACAACCTCAATAGATTTAGACTTTGTCACAAAGATTAGGGAACCGGAACAAGATGAAGCCTATAAGTAGCTAGGAATAAGCGAAGGAGATAGTATGCAACATACTCAAATGAAGGAGAAGGTGAGGAGTACTACGGGGGTGTGCGACTGGTATTAAATACCGAGCTGAACTAAAAAAAAAACCCCAAAAAACCCAGAATAACAGCCATAAACACATTGGCTGTCCCTGTGATGCAATACAGCTTTAACATCCTTAACTGGACCTTAGCTGACATTAAGCGAATGGATGTCAAACGAGAAAGCTTCTCACTTGCTATCGCATGAATCATCCCAAAGCTGATTTTGATCGTCTGTATGTGCACAGATCCGAAGGAGGCAGAGGATTAGTTCAACTAGAACTGACCTACAAAACTACAACTTGGCCTTTAAATATACCTGGAAACCACAGAAGACTGGATGATGATATGTGTCAAAGAACATGAAAGTAGTCAGCGTCTTTATTCCGTAATAAAAGAAGCCAACAAGTTCAAGATGGAGTTTCAAATGGGTGTTAAAATACAAGTAAAACACAATACACCGATTGAAGCTGAAAAATACATAAAAAATAATGCAAAAACAAATGCAACCGACCAGATGCAGAAACAATGCCAAGATAAACCGCTTCATGGCACATACTCTGCCCGTACCTAACAAGCTGATGTAGACAAAACCCGTACCCAGCAGTGGCTACGTAGTGCGGGGTTAAAAGCTTGCTGCACAGTATCAGTGCTTGTTAACTAGAAATTATTAATCACACATACTAATACACAGTGTTAGCCCAAAATGCAGGTTCTGTGAAACAATCGATCATCTTGTATCAGGTTGCACGTTATTGGCACCCACAGAATATAAAACCCGGCATGACAGAGTTGACCAATATCTGCACTAGAAAATCTGTAACTTCTGCGGGAAGGAAACTGAAAATAAGTGGTATGAACACCACCCAGACCCGGTTACGGAGATAGGACCTGTTACAATTTTATGGGGCTTCACAATACACAAAGACAGACAATCAAAGTTAACCGCCCAGACATTGTTATTAGAGATCGAACACAAAAAAGTGACTCCTTATTGATATAGCAGTCCATGCAGACTGCAAGGTATCTTTGAAGATTTTCAAAAAGCTATGAAAATACAAGGACCTTGAAATCAAAAATCAAAAATGTGGCATATGGGAACATCA